CAACCCTCTTCCCTTTTGAAAGGTTTTGGTCTTCCCCTAATCAGGCTATCCTTTCTTCTGTTATTTGCTCATTTGCCCCTCTTCTCCAGTTTTATAGCCCAAACTGTTTTTAATCTTTCGCCTTGTGCCTGATGTTTCCTTAGACCTAAATAAAAATGTATTGCATTTGAAAGTTTGTCGAAGTCTATCCCAACCATGCAGTTGGTCCAATAAAAGATCTTACCCACAGACATCCTTGCCTCTCATATATTTCCCAGGGCAGGGGGCTGGACCTGATGATCTGGTTAGGTCCCTTCTGACCCTAAGCACTATGAAACTATGATTTCCTGGAGCAAGGTGGCTATAACATCATTCCAACATTACCAAACATGAAGGATATTTTTACACAAGTACTTTTTAAAGATGAGTTCAACTAAAGATACAAATGACATCATGTTCTCATTCAAAAGATTTTCTGATTGGAATGGATTCCATATCTTATATTGTATAAAGAAGGAGGGAAGAGCTGAAGGGAATGAGAAAGTATCTTTAGTACACAGGACCACTAAGAGTTCTGTGTTCAGTGCTACACTTGGCTCATTTTCAGAAAAAGTCTGGGTTAGAATAATCAAACTGAAGCTCAAGAGTAAATCTGCTCAAGGAATCACAACAAAGCAGAATTTCTGCATTACTTACATGTTACAGATGCCAAAAAGTCACTACAGGGTGTGCCTGAACACTTTCTAGTCTGGATTCCACAGGATTGGTTCTCTGCATGTACTATTCATCCCTGACATATTAGATCCCAAGAAGTCAAAAGATTTCCTCCAATCTTCCAGTACAAATTTTGCTCAGTTATCACCCCAGTATTTGCATCCTTATGTATTGTATTCATACGTTCATTTTAACCAATAATCTTATGATTATATGGTAAATTTACCACATACTTTTCAGAAATGATACATCCACATACCTAGGGCAGATTTTCACAGGTGTTTAGCAGTCAAATGCTCTTAATTAAAGCAAGAGAGTTACTGAGTATTTTTTTAAATTCATAAAGTTAAATCAAAGAACTTTATTATTGCTTAGATAATGGCAGACAGCATTACCAAAATCTATACAGTATTTCCTTAGACTCTGACCACACAAAGACTTACACATATGTCTAACTTCACTCACATGAGTGATTTCCTTTTAAAAAGAATGGGAATATTCATAGGAATAAACGCTTGCATAAATAGTATCAAAATCAGTGTCTGAACGTCCTCTAGACTGGATAGTAGGGATAACTGGCTGGCAGATAGGAATTTAATTCACCCTAGAGTGGCCATGTAAGTTAGGCTGTTTAACTTTGATGTACGAAATGGAGGTTCAAATTTCTGCTGGGCCTCCCACATACTTAACCACTTCGTTATTTTGGGCTAGTGATTCTCAACTAAGGTGCCACAGCTGAGAAAACCAGAGTTTTCACATAGGAAACCATAGTGCTAGAAACACACTGACCTGTTGTGGTCTTTTTGAGTTCTTTGCAACAAAAGAATAGCTCTAGTATCTGTCCAGCAGTCAAAAGAGAGTCAAAACTAAAAGCTGGCATTTTCCAAGGGGTCCTCAAGTCTATGAAGGGGTATCTCAAGTTTGGCCCGAAAAGGTTGAAAACCACAAAAAGATTTGTGGTGCCACAAACTGCATGTGCCTGCATGTCTGGATGCACCCAGCATCCACATGAGCATGGATGTTTGGTTCCCTAAGGACAACACGTTGTGCTGCTACTAGATGTCCCTGGGGAACACTTGTGCCACAAACCGTTTAGTGTGCAGCAAGTTACCGTGGGTGGGGTAGGGGAGGCTGGGGCCAGCATTAGGCTCACCCCAGCAGCCTTACTTGGGGTCTTGAGGGGCCTCCTGGGGTTGCAGCTGTGGTCATTCTGCCACTTGGAGCCTGGCTGGAACTTGGAGCATGGTTCCAGCCATCCAGGCTCTGGTTTTGAGCAGCACACGCTGTCCTCACATGCAGTCTCTCCTCCTAAATCTGTTCCTCATAAAAAAGTAGACAGCAAAGCAGGGGCTGGACCAGTGTCCCTAGTGCCAAGTGGATACTCCAACCACCAGTTCTTATTTTTTTTCCCCTTGTTCACTATTCCTCCAAAGTATATTTCATTATTTGTACAAAGTGGAGCTACTTCAACATGAAAGATAAAGATCAGACTATTTTATAGCCCAGGGGGTTGGGCACTCTTCTTAGAAGCTGAACACTCATGTTCAAATGCATGCTATGAATTAAACAGGAGGGCGATCTAAATGTGTGACTTCCACATCCCGAGTGAGTTTCCTCATCACTGAACTAGAAAAAAAAGAGTGCTCCAGCCCCTCTCTGTACCTTTGTAAGTGGCACCTCTGTCAGCTTGTAAAGCTGGCCCTTTGTTTCCAAATTTTCTTTTAATAAAAATGCCTAAAATGTAATATTAATTTTGGGTTGAATGTTTGGCACTATCCCCACACCCTCCATCCCCAGTTTACTGTGGGAAAACAAAGCCTTAAGAAAATCTGCTTTGAGTAAATACAACTTCATCCTTTTATATTTTTGAGCAAGAATGACTGCTAGAGGACCATATATATAATAAACCCCAAGACTCTGATAAAGTGTCAAAGCAGCATTAAGTCAGATTTTTATGTGTTTTTTGCTTTGACCTTCCCTCCTGCTTTGGAGGGTGTATGCATGAATGTGTGTTAGCCATATCATATTTTTCCCTGAAATAAACTGTGTATATGTGTGTATGTATACATACAGTTTCTTTCAGAGAAAAATACTTTTTTTCACATATGCAACTATATATATCCAATATATGCATGATAGGCTCAATTATGGTTAGCAGTATAATTGAAATGAATGGATGCTAAAGATATTCAGTCACTTTGAAACTTGGGCTCTGTAAATTGAAGTAAAGTTCAGTTAAACATTACATTATTTTTTTCAAAGTCTTTCAACAGAGAAATGTCATCATGTCTACAGCACATCTAGCTCTTCTATGTCCTTTGTGAAACATTTTTTTAATAAACTTTTAATAGCTACTGTGAAAGTTCCTGTGTCAGATTGTTTGTTTAAGATTGAACCTTTAAATATTTAACAACCTGTCTGGGAGTCTGGGTCCCAGCAGGGGCTCCAAGATGACTCTCTTTTCTTCTTCTGATGTTATATTGCTTCTCCTCTGTCTGTGCTCCATTATTATGATAAAAGTCTCCTAAAAACTTCAAGTTGTGAAGAAATCCTCTGAATCGATAGGAAATTGATTTTTTTTCTTATTCTGGTAAATAGCTGGAATTAATACTATTTCACTGGACACTGCACCACTGCTAACTGCCTACTAGCAAAAAAGCTTTTCATTATGAAGTAGCCATGTGTGATGATGAGAGGATGGGATATGCAAGGAAGTAAAGATAAAATAGGAATGGATGAACTGGAGTGAAAAAAAAAAATCTTCACTGTCCATCAACACAGCTGTAAGCAAAAACAAACACCCTTTATGCCCTTTTCCCCCTTCCCCTGCTTTTTTAAAATGTAATGATAAAATTATATTGAGAGAGGGAGAGAGAGTTAAGTCCTTATTAAGTCGTTAAAGATTAGCTGTTTATCTAAACCAAATGTAGCTGAGCTAACTCTTTTCAGGCCAATGTTTCAGCAGTTTCAAGTGTGTAATAATGCATCCATACACCAAGTAGGGTCTCTAGGTCCTACTGAGGCAGATCAGCTGTCTGGCAGGATGTGTCCTGGCACAGCTGATCTGTTTCACCAAGCAAAACACACGTCCCCTGTTGGTTCCACGTTGGGCGGGGTTCCTGTCATGTGGAATAATATGTTTCCTATTTTCAGAGTCATACCCTGGGGAATCTCCAGTGTGTTTCTAAGCTGGGAATCCCAAGACTTGAGGTGCCTGACACTGCAGGAATTCCTGGGGCCCGTCAAGTCCTGGGAGCTTCTGCCCAGAGCAGCTGAAGCTCCAGGCTGGTCACAACCTCTCACCATAAACTGAATGGACATGTGCTGCAATAAAGCAGCTTAAATTGATATAATCTATGCTGCAGCCACAAATTTTGAGTATTTGTGGCACAACAAAGGGTATGGAAATCTGTTTGCTTGGCTTTTGTGCTGCCATAAAAATGTTATGGTGGCACAAATGTGATATCTGTTTCTACCTTAGGTTTTGCTCTGTGAAAAGTGAATGAAACTGCTTTAGAGTTTCTTTCCCCCCAATGCTGATAGTTCACTGTTCCTCAAAACAGAATAATTAGCCATCCAGGTGCAAATTATTTTGCATTTTCCTATTATATTATTTTACACATTCAAATCAGAAATAGGCTTTTTCTTTTCAAATTCAAGCAAAACTGATGGGGTACTTCAAGAACACCCTCATGAGCCATACAAAAATTAGATATGAAATTTTGAGACTAGAAGAACTATTAAATGTACCATACACTTTTCCCAGAGCCTGACAAATGGACTTTGATCCTGAAAGCTTGCAGAAAAGGACAATTTTCTTGCCATTTTCCAGTTGGTCTAATAAAAGGTATAATTTTGGAACCAAGAATTCTAGTGTTTTGTATGCCATTTAAATGACAGCTTTTATGCTTATGAAGGGACATTACCCAAATACACTTTTCAAACTCATACATAAATCAAACATCAATACTTTATAACTATGACAAAAATAACCTCTGTTGAACATGTAATTTGTACAACAGCTGGTCACACAAACTTTAAGTTCACCTTTGATCCCAACAAGCCAATACAACAGTCAACATATCTTCCATTTGTTACATTATATGGGGCCTATTGGTTGCTCATTCTACATTGTTTTGAACAGGTCAAGAATTCACTGCAAATTATGAGATATATTTTTCCTCATATACAGATTCAGTGGAAGAGAGCATTCAAGAAAATCTAGTAGTGACATATTAATTGGATGAAGTTATTGGTAATGTTAAGATATAAACAAATACTTTTTAGAAACCTGATTGTTACTCTACCTGTTACTTTGAGTCTGTCAGCTCCAATGATGATCTCATCTTCATCTGCAGAAAACAGCAGCTTTCCACCTTCATTTGCCCTCACTTCAAATCGCTTACACTGGGCCTCTACAGCATCAGCTCCTGGAATTGAGAGGATTCTGTGAGAATTCTGAGAAACAGAATACTTCACCTAAGAAAAGATTTCTGAAATTGTAAATGAGCCATAATTTACTTTGAATCCCCAAAACACACGCTCAAGCTTTGGATGACACTTAATTTCTTGTAGACTTGGTTGATTATTTTGTATTAGAAATCTTTCATTGTGTAATAATTATTCCTTTATTATACATTAACATGGACTTTAAAACTAATAATAAGAAGTGCAATACACCTCATTGCTATTAGTGAAAAGGAAACAAGAGTTTAGAAAAGTCATATTCTGAGATGCTGAAATATCAATGCAGAAAGGTTCTTAGCTTTTATTCTAAATAATATTCATGGCTCTTTTGACAGTAGGAACAAAGGACAAAGCAATACTTTATTCTGCCCAGATCAATTAGAAAAAAATATACCCAAACACATTTAGTAGAAAAGGCTTTTTTTCCAAGTTTTATTTATTTTTTGTTTAGTCTTGTTGCAAACATTCACAGTTGAATATCTTTAAAAAGCAAATACACTTTCATATAACCAACAAGACTTTTTAAATATTCTAATGAACTCAAAATCTTAATTTTTTTCAGAGATTAAAGAAAAAGTACACTCATGTTATGTATGAAAAAGTTTTTGGACAAATTGTTAATCCCAATGCCTCATACCCTTCCTCTTGTTCCTAAATATACCCCTTGTCTTCTTTTAATTCCTTTCTTATAATTTTGCTCATATGTAACATCTTTCAAGTTATTCAATGAAAGCAGAGGTATCGCTCAGAAAATGATAGTGACTAATGACTAACGACAATCCATAAGGGACCTATCAGCCCTTTTGTGAACTGTTCTTTCTACAATGTACTCAGGTTTTTCAGTTGGTTTTCGATACTCAAATACCTCATTTAGGCCTGGATCACTCTCCTTCTCCCCACCCCCACACACACACGTACACACTCTAAATAGGAATGCAAGAGGTTGTCAGGATAGCACTCTAGACATAGAGATCCATTCTTATTTGAGTTGTCTTCTCAATTACATCCAGCCTCACAGCTGTGTGGAAACTATTGCTTCATATAATGAGAAATGCACCTGTTTGCATAATGCTGCAGTCATCAGCTCAACATCAGTCCAGGCCATTATCAAAAGACCAGAATCTAATCGGAAACATAGAAGCCCTAACAGCTAATTTGAGATAAGGATTTTCAAGTAAACTCCTTCATATGCTGGTCAACATTTTCATAAATGATTCATGATATAGTGGTGTGATTCTCCTATCAGAATAAAAATACAGATACACTGTTCAAAACAGAGCATTATGTTTATACTACTAGTAAGGAAAGTAAAGTAGTAGGTTATAACAACAAATGTAGGACACTTCTTTTGAAAGCAGTGACATTTATCCCATTATAAAGTGTAGCATTTCATATAGGTTTCCTTTAATATCCAGTTTTAGTTGTATTTTGATTTGTGATAAGTGTGTGTGTGTGTGTGCGTGTGTGCGTGCACATGTTTAACACAATACTAATTTATTTTGAAGGCAATTTTTTTTCAGGATGGGGAAACTGAGTGGTGAAGTGACTTGCTAAAGATCACATTGGTAATTAGTAGAGTAGAACCTAGTTTTACTGCATCCTAATTTATTGCTCTATCTGGTCAACCACTCTGTAGGATTTCCCAAAGAATCTTTCTCATATTTGCTTTTCCTGATTTGTCAGACTGAAAGTAGGTACATGCATGGTTTTTGAACCTGTAAGGTGCATGTTTCTTTCAGATCTCATTTGAAGGTCTGTATAAAGAATCTCTGCATTCCCTCACTGCTGCTTGTGTGTTATACAGTGTATGTAAATTTAAAAGTGCCATGAAATGGAGAATAAATACAATGATGTAATGTTTCAGTTTTGTATCAGGAACTTAAGTCAAGTATCTTCAGTCTAAAGACTACATTATAGAATCTCTCATTCTTTATTGCCCAATAAATACTTAGCTATTCCATGAAGTGGAACAGTTTGGACAAGAGTGATTTAGAAATCCCAACCCATAATACCTAATACTGTGTTGGTTACAACATCCTTGTGGGAGATTCTTCAAGGTCCCTTAGTCCGATGAAGTCTCCGTTATTCTAGGCACTGGATCAGATTGCACAGGTGAGCTAGATGGGGAAATGTCTATTTTGTGAATCTCAAAAAAGATTATGCTGCTGGTTGGTGCTGTCAAGAATTAGGAGACTTTACAAATGAACGCTGACAGAAACACAGGCATCAACAGACTTTAGAAACTACTCAGAAGGTTCATTCCTCAGATTTGTAATGCTTCTTTTTAAACGATAAATGTATAAAATTTATAGGCTGTGCATATACTACATTACAAAATAATTCATACGTTGACAGTGAATACATCCATTTTGTTCTACAGGTTAGGGATGACCACATAACTCACAAGTCAAGAACACATAAATAAAATGGATGATGATATTTAGCACATCATTTATTTAAAAGAGAGAAGCAAATATAATAAATTAAATACAGGGTTGAAATACTTAAATAAATTTTAAATGGCTTGTTTCTAGGTTTTATGTGATTCACAGATGATTTACACACATATTGGATTCAAAGCTCAGAATAGTTTTTAAATGATAGATGGTTGATATAAGCACAATAAAAGAATACAGTTTGTACTATACTTCTCTTCTTATACACGGATATAAGAACATGCCTTACTGACTGCACAGGTTTTGAATAAGAATAAATAATCCCCGCCTTGCTGCTCTACATTAATGCTTTCAGATTAAATTATTGTGATTATATATCTCCAAGACACAATATCATTAAATATTAGATAGTTATTAAAAAAGAGATTCTCCACAGCAGTCCATGATGATACCTGAGAGAGCATTACTGGTGATTTAATTGATGGCACAATCTCCCTTGATTTATTCCTAAAACAAAGTACTAGTGCAGGGCTGTTCAACTGACAGCCCACTGCCCACATGTGGACCATGAGGGGTTAATCAGTGATGCCAGATGCCTACCTGCCTAGGCTTTCTAGGGTCTAGGCTTTCCCTCCCTCCCTCAGTTTTCACTTTCTGCTCCCACCCCAAAGGGTGCAGCCCAGGAACTGAGGTGGATGCTGCCTGTACAGATATTACAGCTGGGTGTGCAGCTTGGGAGCATGTGGCTTGCATGTGTGTGGCCCCCACTGTTGCAACCTGTGTGGCATGTGGCCCCCAGCCACTTATCAGTTGAACAGTTCTGTGCTAGTATGCACTTCCTGATAATAATGCTGCTTCATGTATTAATATTTAATTTGCACACACACACAGACACACACACACACACACACACACACACACACATATATAGTGCTAGCAGACATATATATATCTGCTAGTAAATTCCACAACAGAACATTGAAGGGCATTTATACACATACTTATTTTCCAGCAACACGCTGGAGATCCACCACTTCAGAGCAGACTCAACTTATCTAGTCTGCTCCATACGCAAGCTGAGGCAAACTGTACTGCATCATGTGCAGTTGTATAAGTGGAAAAATGTGCGTCAGTGTGCAGAACATGGCAGTGGTATGCTTTTGAACTAAATCACCTCTGAGGTGTTTTAGATCAAAAGTATGCCACCACCATTTTCTCAGCGCTGATGAGCATTTTGCTGCTTATACAACTGCATGTGTTGCATGCAGCGCTGCCACCCATACAACCCAAAGAGACCAGGCTGAGACTTCAGGAGATTTTAGTGTGTGTATGTGTGCGTGTGTGTGTATACACATATATATATGATATATATGAAAATTAGAATCTCTTCAGGTCTCAGCCTGGTCTTTTTAATGTCCTGCTGTGGAATTTACTAGCAACAAGATTGCACCATTTATGTATCACTGTACTGTCACATTTTCATATAATGTAGAGTTCAAGGATCAAGCAGTCCTAGGAATCTATGTAAATATAAAAGGCATATGGCATATTTACAGATTAGCCCTTAATACTTACACATCTATGTTCACTATCTTTATATAAATAGAGTTCCAGTTTGTCATATCTTAATTTCAGCATTGTTAATTAGGAATAGTTTTGTCCATTTGTGAAAATTAGAATTTTAGAATGTGAAATATAAATTATTTTTAAATGATTTTATAATCATTTACAACATGGCTTTGTTGCTGAAAGGTCCTGCCTGACCAACCTCATCTCCTTCTATGACCAGGTGATGCATTGACTGGACAAGGGAGACAAAGTTGATGTCATATATCTGGATTTTAAGAAAGCCTTTCACTTGGTCTCCCATGATGTCCTCATGGTTAAGCTGGGGAACTGCAGCCTTGACCATCTCATGGTCCAATGGCTGAGGAACTGGCTCCAGGGTCGGACCCAAAGTGTATTAGTTGATGGGAGCCAATCAACATGGCACAAGGTGACCAGTGGTGTCCCTCAGGGCTCGGTACTCAGGCCAGTACTCTTCAACATCTTCATTAATGGTCTGGATTTGGGGGTCAGATGCAGACTGGAAAAGTTTGTGGATGACACTAAATTATGGGGGACAGAGGTCCCACTGGAGGACAGGCTGATACAGGCTGACCTGGACAGGCTCACAAGGTGGGCGGACAAAAATGCGATGGCATTCAATGTAGAGAAATGCAAAGTGTTCCATCTTGGGAGGAAAAACCAGCATCATACATACAGGCTCAGTGTTACACTGCCTAGCACCATGAACAAAAGAGACTTGGGGGTCTTGATTGACCACAAGATGAACATGAGCTACCAATGCACTGCTGTAGCTCACAAGGCAAACCCCAACTCTGGCCTGTGTCAACCAATGCATCTCAAACAAAACCAGTGACATCATCCTCCTGCTTTACTTGGCCTTAGTGGGGCTGCAGTTGGAGTACAGTTTTGGGCCCCCCATTTCTGAAGGGATATGGATAAGCTTGAGAAAGTCCAAAGGGGAGCCACCTGCATGATCAAAGGCCAGGTTGAGAGACATG